CTCCAGTGCCTGGGTCCTCTCTTCCCACTCTCCGCAACTCCTGGGTACCTCCGTGCCCCTGGTGGGACTGGGAGGGGGTAAGCAGGGCAGAGGGTGAGCATGGGAGTCGCAAGTACCCTGTGCTGTTTGGGACAAAGGTCCCCCCTCCGCAGGCATATGCAACCACCTGGAACCTATGCCCACCAGCAGGAAGCAGAGCTCCCTTGCTCCCCTTGCTGGGGGCACCATGCCAGCATGGCAGATGGGCGTGTTGTCAGCTGCCAAGGGACCTCAGATAGGATCCAAATAGGTCTGCATTTTTGGAGGGCAGGACATGCTCTCCTCTGCTCCCCTTAGTAAATGCAAGACCAGCTGATGAAACCATCTCTCTACGTATTGCCTCGGTTCCCGTGTGCATTTCCCTCACCCCCATTATTGCCTCTCGGCTAATAGGGAGGATGAGAAGACGGGCGGGGCGCGCGCTGGCCTCTCCCAGCATTCACCGACACCTCCATATGTTCTGAGGGCGGGCACCTCTGGACTGAGAAGCACGAGATCCCCAAATCTGCTTGCTGGAGCTTTTCTTTCGCTTTTCTGGCAGATGATTGCACGGCGTCAGCTTGATTACCTGAAAGTGGTAGGAAGCCCACTGCCTCGTGGGCAGCTCCTCTTTTGCCGGACAGTTTTATTCCGTAAAACAAAATCTGCATCCAGATTAATTCCAGCTCTGCCCTGGAGCAGCCGAGAACAAATATGCCTTCTCTTCCTGTATGACAGCTCTTCAAATATTTTAAACCAATGCTCACATCCCCGAAGAGCCTCTGCTTCTCTCGGCTAAGTATTTCCTGTCCCTTCAATTCCTACAGTCATACCTGGAGTGACACAGGACCCAGATGGCTTGTTTGGATTGGGTAGTGGATTGTTAAAAAAAAAAAAAAAATAGGTGCTGAATTCAGATACACTCGAGACTGAGTCACCTTTGTTCAGTGAAGTCCCCCCGTCTTAGCTGTTGTCTGCTGCCATTCAGTTGTCTACACATTTGGATTAAATGGCATTTACTGAACTGTAACTATGTGATGAGGGATCTGCCTTTATTAAAAATGGATATTTGTATTTTAGAAATGAGAAAACCGGTACACAGAGATGACCTAGCTTCTGTTGGGTCATACAGCTGGTCTATGACAAAGCAAGGGTACGAATCTATTATGGCTTTTGTTTGGTTGAACGTCAACCAGGCTTCCATAACTGGAGATTGAGCAGGGTGCTGGAAATGCATGTGATGTGCCCACATGAGTCTGTATTTCCATGGTGTAAGGCTAACCAACATCTGTCAACAGACTACCCCTAGAGTAGGGCTGTGGACAGGGGCAGGAGTAATGGAAGGGGCCTTTTACTCTGCTCTCTGGATTCTTCTGTTGTTTGAATGTCCTTAAGGATACAACATACCTAAGTAATTCTCATGTATGTGAAATACAAATAAAATGCTTATGATTTAGATGGTAGCTTCAAGTTGGATACAATCCAATGGGTGAGTTAAAATATACTTAAGAATAAAGAAAAGTCGCAAATGTGAGAGATGGCGTGGACTGGTGGCCACGAGCATGGCCACCTAGAGCTCCAGAACCTGGATGCCAATCAGGGTGGTAGCCATTACTTGCTCTGTGACCTTGGACAAGTCGGTCAGTCTCTTTACTCCTTTATTTCCTCAACTGTAAAATGGGAATACTAATTTTTAGTACATATGTTTTAGGTTATGTTTGTCAAGAATAATGAGTCCTTTGATTTTTTTTTTTTTTTTTTGATTGAGGTATAATTTACATCAGTGCAATGAACCCTTTCCAGTATAGACTTATGAGTTTTGACAAATGCATAAAGCCATGTAACCACTCCCACAGTAAAGATATTGAACGATTCCATCAACCCCACCCCCACCCCCCAAATTCCCATGTCCCTTGTCATTTAACCACTCCCCACCTGCAGCCCCTGGCAACTACTGATCTGTTTTTTGTTCTGACAATTTGCCTTCCTGGAATAACTTATAAATATAATTATATCACATATAGCCTTTTGAGTCTGGCTTCTTAGCATAATATATTTGAGATTCATCCGTGTTGTTCACGTAATTCATTCTTTTTTATTGCTGAGTAGGATTCCATTGCATATAAACTACAGTTTGTATATCTGTTCACTAGAGGAAGAACACTGGCGTTGTTTCTGGTTTTGGGTGATTATGAAAAACGTTTCTATAACATTCACATACAGGTTTTGTGTGCACATAAGTTCTTTTCATATGGTAAATACTTAGACTGGAATTGCTAGGTCATATGACAAGTACATATTTAACTTGATAGGAAACAGCCGTGCTGTTTTCCAAAATGGCCATATCGTGTCACATTCCCACCCACAAAAAAGAGAGTTCTGGGGGTCCCACATCGTCCCCAGGGCTTGGTATTACCAGGTGTTTATTTATTTAGTTCTAATTTCAGCCATTCTAATAGGTCTTAAGTGATATCTCATTGTATTTTAATTCGTGTTTCTCCAATGACTAAAAATATTGAATATTTTTTTCATGTGATCGTCTGCCATCTGTGTACCTTTTTCGGTGAAATGTCTGTTGCTCATTTTTTTAATGGGTGATTTGTTTTCTTATTGTTGAGTTTTAAACGTTCTTTATGTATTCTAGATTGAAGTCCTGTGTCAGATATGCGTTTTGGAAATATTTTCTCCTAGTCTGTGACTTGTCTTTTAAGTTTCTTGATAGTGTCTTCGAAAGAGAAGCTTTTAGCGTGGATAAAATCCAGTTTGCCAATTTTTCTTCTATGCATAATGACTTTGGTGTTACCTAGAGTCAAAATAGTTTTCTCTCATAATTTCTTCTAAAGGTTTCATAGATGTAGGTTTTGCATATAGGTCTATGTTCCTTTTTGGGTTGCATTTTGTATATGGTGTGAGGTAAGGTCAAGGCCTCTCACACTTCCAAGGCCTCTTGGACTTCTTGGATCCTTCACCTTCCCCTCGGCCAGGGTGTTTGTATTCTTTAAAGACCTTTCGCGTAATGCCTGTGCTAATATTTACATCCTTGCTTAACTAGGCTGGCCTCTGCTGCCCTGGGCATTTCTTAGACTCAAGCAGGATGGAGTTGCAATCTTTCCAAGCTATTCGGTAGCTGTTTTCCCCTCACAGCATAAAGCACGCTAAGAGCTGGAAGCTGCTTAGTGTGCAGGCTGCCTGGGGGTTGGGATACGTCCGGTGAAAGATGTTCTGGGCCTTCCTAGTCCTATATAACTCATGGATTAGAGCCTTGACTGTTGGTTGGTCATGGTATATACTGGCAAGAAGCAGGACAATTCAGCTGTCCTTGGGCCCTGGGCCCCTGGTTAAAACCCATCTATAGAGAGCTGCTGATCAACCAACACTGAGGTTCTGCGAGGTGGATGGTAGGGTAGGGGAGTTGAATGTAATCAGATCTCTGACAAAATGTGGGCCAATGGGAGCAAACACAAGAGCCTCTTGGCAGTCGCCAGTTTTCACTCTCCCCTTTGCTGATCATAAAGACAAAAGCCAGTCCTAGGGCACCCGAGAAAATGGGTGTGGTCCACTATCCCCTCGGTTCTGTCCACCTATCTCACCAGCTTGCCCCTTTCCATTCCTGTGTGCCAGTATCTCAAGCAGGGGAACAGAGGAAATGAACAAAGTAGTTCAGGCTGGTGTGCGAGACAAAGCTCCAAGGCCTTGAAGTGTGAACTCAGCAAGGGCCCCATATGTTCATGTTTCTACTCAAGACACCAAGTTTAGATGCTTAAACTTGGGATGGAAGAAAATAGAATCATGGGAGCCCTCAGCCTGAAGAGATTCCTAGAAAATCACTTTGTCCCCAGCCTCCTGCCTCTGATCAGAAACTCACATAAGTGGTCCAGGGTAGGAGAGCCCAAAAGAGATAGTGCAATCTCCCTTGGTTATTATCTCCAGCATTAACCTTGACTTAGGCACTTTGGTATTGGTTCTGGTCTCTGGGCAGACGGTATCTATAAAGGAAGGTGCTAGCTGGTCAGCAGAGGCAGGCTGTGGAATCAGGAAGAGACCCGAGATAAGGCAGAGATGGGCATGGTGTGAATGAGAAATGGGAAATCCAAGTGCTTCCGCTCTTTAACACCCCAGCGATCCGAAATAGTGCAAGTACATGCTCTGGGGCAGCTCAGGGGTTCTGCTGTTTCCTTGGTCAAATGATAGCATTGTCCTGGGCTGCTGCTGCTTCTTTGTAAAATAGGGGAAATAAACCACTGCCACCATAACTGATTTTTGTGAGTGCCTACTGTTTGTAAGTTTCTTTATATGCGTTTCATTAATTATTATTATTATTATTATTTGAGAGAGAGAGAGAGAGAGAGAGAGAGAGAGAGAGAATCTCAAGCAGGCTGCACGCTCAGTACAGAGCCTGGTGCGGGGCTCAATCCCATGATTATGAGATCATGACCTGAGCCAAAATTAAGAGTCAGACACTCAACCGACTGAGCCACCCAGGCTCCCCTTTATATGCATTTTCTGCTTCAATTCTCACAACAGCCTGAGGGAAATATTCTTATCATCCCATTTTACAGATGCGGAAACAACGGCACAGTGAGGTTAAGTCGTACCCAAAGTCCTACTTGTACAGAATCCCCCCTGAAACGGTTAGATTATATAAGCCAAGGTCCCATCCACAGCTTCTCTGTTTTGCAGGCCATCAGTGCGCACCATGCAAGTATGGAGCTCAGGCTGGCGAACAGGCACTCCAATTACTTAACCTCATGAGGTTCCGCAAAGGGCGCAGATTCACAGGGAGTTAGGGGCACCGGGTTCTCCATCTGGAATTTGCTCAAAGTGGCCACCTGATCCAGCAACTAGACCCACCCGCTCTGGCCCTTCATTTCCTTTATGCTACCAGAAGGGCTCCGAGGAGATGATTTCTCAGGTCCCGTCACGTGCTTACCTTTATGATTTTATGATTCTTATTTATTTATTTTCTTATTCTGCGCCTTCAGATTCATGAAGGGATGTGAGACTGGGGCCAAGTTCCTGGAGACAGGCTCCACACTGGTCCTGAGAGAAGAAGCAGAAGATTTCAGCGAGAGGGACAGAATTTAAAAGGACGACTTCCCCATTTCTTCCTGCTCCTCTGGATCTTATACATCTTTCAACATTCAGCTCAAGGCCCATGTGGCCTGGGAGGCCTTCCAGTACCAGCTTGGTAAACGCACTCTTTTGTAAATATAATCTGTGTGTGCTGCACAGTTTGAGACGTATTAATTAATTTATTAATGTACTTACTTATATCTGCCTTGTGCCAGAGCAGACTTGTGGTGGCTTACATGGATACGAAAAATGGAATGAGATGATATACAGGAGAAGCCAGTGGGAACGGGAGATAAAAAAAACAAAGGAATATCCCTGGGGATCAGGAATGAGGCTAGTAGAGGGACGCAGAGCTCCCAGCCCTAAACACGTACGGCTGGCTTCAAATCTAGGGTATCTGGAAGCCAGTGTGAGCAGAGTAAATAGATCAGTCTCACAATTCATAGTGCCTGCACGATGGGAGAAAAAAGAAGGAAGGAAGGAAGGAAGGAAGGAAGGAAGGAAGGAAGGAAGGAAGGAAGGGAGGAAGGGAGGAAGGGAGGGAGGGAGGGAAGGAGGGAGGGAGGAGGAAAAAAAGGAGGGAGAGAAGGAGAAATAGTAGGAAGGATGGGAGGGGAAAGAAAGAAGTTTCTTTTAAGTTTATTTATTTTGAGGGAGAGAGAGAGACAGAGAGAGGAAGAGTAGGGGAGGGGCAGAGAGAGAGAGAGAGAATCCCAAGCAGGCTCTGCATTGTCAGGGTAGAGCTCGACTTGGGGCTCGAACTCATGAACTGTGACACCATGACCTGAACCAAAATCAAGAATTGGATGCTTAACCGACGGAGCCACCCAGATGTCCCAGGAAAGAATATTGTTTTAGGAGAAACCCAACTCTCCCGGTGCCCTGTGGGCACGGGGCTTTCCTGGGCACCTCCCTGTATGTAACCGGGGAGGGGCAATGTGCTCAACAGTACCTTTCCGTAGCCGCAACTCCTCACGTCTTTAGGCCGCCCCCAGTAGCATCGTCCCTCAACACAGACCACACTTTGACTCAGGAAAATGGAACCAGAAGGACTCGGTCCAGTAACCGGCTCTCTGGGGCTCTGCCTTAATCTCGTGACTGTTAATATTTCTGGAGGGACGGATGGACTGCATACCCTTCAGGCAATTGTGCTTACGCTTTCCTTCTCTCAGCTGGGTTTCTGATGGACACTGCATGGCAGTGAGTTCGAGACTATATTCCCTGCCAAATACCTGAAGTGCAGCTCTCGGGCTGCCAATTAAATACGGCCCCATATGCCTTACAAACACACGAGCAGTTGGAATCTGCCAGCCCTAGGGGAGGGTTGTCATTCTCTTATGAAAATCGATGCGCCTACCCGGGACCTGGACTTGATCAGAGGACCACCCCCTTGGTTCTGAGCTAAGCTGAAGGAGTCTGCAGGGTGTTTCGATCCCCTCCTAGACCAGAAGTGTCTGTGCCATAGGGCAGAGAGATTTCTCCGAGAATGGAGACCTTCGGATTCCACCATCAAATGCCTAAAACAAGAAGCGTGGTCTATAGGATTTCCAAGTCCCCTTACAGCAGAAACATTTATAATTCCAGAAGGAAAATGCTTCATGGGAGGAGGGCTGTTAAACACTAGAAAATTCTACCACAGGAGCGGTGAAATTGCCTGCCTCAGAGAGGCAGAAACCCATGCTGTCTGGGGTAAATTGGAACAGATCTGCCTGGAGGCAGGGGGCTGGACAGGATGGCCTCTGGAATGCTTATCAAAATGTCCCAGGTGGTGAGTATTCAGCTGGCTTATCTGTCTCCTAAGTGTGCACGCCCTGGCTTCAGATATTTGTGTTCTCTGGGCACACACTCCCTCCTCGTGTGGAGACACTCGCATGCACGCCCATCAATGTTGATCCGACCCTCCCCAGCTAGCAGCCATGTGCGGGGAGCCCCCTCTGCAGAGTCTTTCCTGGGAAATGCATTAGGGCTACACAGCATTCCCCTCATAAAAATACAACAAACAGCCCTGCCAGGGGTCCACAGAGTAATGACTGTAACCCAGTGGCGTTCTTGGAAAGGGCTCTTCAGAAGCAAAGCCGAGAAGACTTAACAGAAATCTTTGGGGGTAATTAGGTTTCTGGAGTGCACAAACCTCTTCAGTCATCAAGAGTCAGAGAGGATTTGGTCTGTAAATCCTACACTGGGCCAGGCTGGGCCCCGGCGCTTCCCCCACTGCCCCTGCCTTCCCCCTCGTCAGTGGGCTATTGGCCACAAGGAGCCCCGCTTTCCTGTAGGTGTGCTACGGGTATCCCTGTGGGGACCCACCCTGACCCGCATGAGAAAACAGTTGTTGCCGAGAGGAGAGGCACAGGGAGGCTGAGGCAGAGTGTTGGTCTCGTGCCCAGGGTGGGGCCCCACAAACCAGATGGATGGATTTTTGTCTGGAGGGCACACAGGTGAGGGGTTCATGGTCCCAGACGGAGGGCTGGGATGTCTGAACAATTTCTTTTGTCAAGGATGGAAAAGAGAACTTCCCACCTACTTCCTTCCAGTTCCCCAAAGTCCCTTTCCCCACCCCCGCGGGCATGTGGGTCTCGAGAGTGGTTGAGAGCCTGGCGGGCTACAGCGGGGTACAGAGTGTGGACAGTAGGAGGGATCGGGCCAGGCTGGCCTGCCTGCTTTTCCCAGTAGGTCCTCCGGCCCTGCCCTACAACCCTTCCCCAACTCCTCTTAGGTGCAGAGAGAAGAGGGACCCTCCTTCCTTCTCCTGGGCTCAGCCCCCCCCCCCTTCCCCTGGGGGCGCTCTGTGGGTGGCGGGGCTAAAAGCAGATCCTTACCTGCACTGCCTGGGAGCTGGGTCAGGGGGCAGGGAGGGAATGAAAAGCAATCTGGGAGTTCTTGGGCCTCAGTGGCGCGCACACCTTCAGGGCATTTAGGGAAAGTAGATTAAGAAATCTTTTTCCAGATAAGAGAGGCCTGTAAAGAGGCCAAAGAAAGGGAAAACCACCCCCCTTTGATCACAGGGGATTGTAATTACTCAGATATTGATTGGGATAATAAGTTTGCCAAAACTCCAGAGAAGGAGAGATATTCCCCCAGGTATTTTGCTTTTGCAGCATTTGCTGAGCTCCTCTGTGAAGTTAAAGTCAATTTGGAGGCCTGGGCCTGGCCCCGAAGTCCCCAGAATGGGAGTCGGAGACCTTTTCCTCCTGTAGAGAGTGGTGCGCATGCCCAGGTGTGCCTCCCTCCCTCCCCGGAGCTGTCCCCACCGTCAACATCCGCAAGACCATCGCTGTTATTCATGACCCTTGGGGCTCCTTGGGGTTAAGTGGCATCAGGAACTGAAGCTGGCCTCAAAAAGAGAGTAAGCCCTAAGCCTGGACTCCAGAATCTTCTTTAGTAGTTTTCTTTCTTTCTCTGCTGCAAGCCTTCTCTGTCGATGTCCCCTGCAGTAAACCCCTGCGCGTGCGTGCACACGCACCCGCCCACGCCCACACACCCACACACGTGTTTGTCCAAGCCCACCTACATTTCCAACGCAAGTCTTCCCTGCACAGTGTCCACATGTCCGCACCCAGCATGCCCCGAGTGGGATCAAGAGCTCTGGCTCTTGAGGGTCTTTGGGGTCAGACGAACCTGAACTCAAGGCCCGCAATCCTGAGCAAGTCCCTTTACCTTCTGGGGTGGCGGAGTTATCTGCAGAATGGGGATCATGGCACAAGGACGCCATCTTGCCTGGTTGTTGAGAAGGGCAAATGAGGCGATGTAAAACATTTGGTACAGCACCTGCCTGGTCAGAAGCACCCAATGAAAATCCTCGTTATTGCTATTGTGATGCTCCACCCACTCTCTGGCATTTTGCAGGAATAATTGCTTGTGTAGAATTTTCTTCCATCACACCTGCAAGCCAAGGCTCTTCTCAGTCTTCCGGGCCCAGCCCAGACTCCAACTTTGCCCCATCCTGGGCACCACCCTTTCGCTCCCGCCTAGGATGTCTGTACCTGGTAGGGCTATCGCGGCGGCCAGCTTTGAGTTCTGAGTTTGAAATTGAGGGCAGGGGCTATGGCTTACCTCATCTTTACATCTCCCCTGCTTCAAGCCCAGAGCTCCACACTAAGCACACCTGATATATGTAGGTGCAATACATCTTGGTTGGTTTTTTATAATAATAGGTGCCATTTAGTGAGCAATTACTACGTGCCTGCCTCTTTTCATGATCACGATGAATCGTCATAGCAACCCTACAAAATGTTACTACTTCCATTGTATAGATGTGGAAAGTAAGGCTCTGGACAGATGAAATCACTGAGTGGTCACACAGCTGATGTGCGGCTAAGCCCGGCTCCAGGTGGATCCCATAGTTATACAGGACTAGGCAGACCCAGCACAGCTTTCCCTGGACGTATCCCAACCCCCAGGCAGCCTGCGCACTAAAGCAGCTTCCAGCTCTTAGTGTGCTTTATGCTGTGAGGGGGAAACAGCTACCGAATAGCTTGGAAAGATTGCAACTCCATCCTGCTTGAGTCTAAGAAATGCCCAGGGCAGCAGAGGCCAGCCTAGTTAAGCAGGGATGTAAATATTAGCACAGGCATTACGTGAAAGGTCTTTAAAGAATACAAACAGCCTGGCTGAGGGGAAGGTGGAGGATCCAAGGAGTCCCACAGAAGCCACCGTGTTGGAGGCACTTTGCAGGATATGGTGTGATGAAGTGCCGGGACGTCTTGTCAAAGAAGGACTCCTCAAATAGGTTCAGGCTGACAGAAGGCAGGGGAGAAGGTTGGTTCCAATAGAAAATAAGTGGGGAATGGAGACAGAGGAAACAGTGGGTGCCTGGCAGGGGAGCTACGGAAGACAGGAAGGACAGAGATGAATGGACACGTCAGCAGGAAAGACTGATTTTGCTGCTGATGGTGATGATGATATTGATTGACGGGGTGCCCAACACCATGTGATGCAGGAAGGGATCAAGCAGCCTCGCCTCAGCAGTGTAAACGTGCTTTTCCTAGTGGGAAAGGTTGTTTCAGAATGCAGTCTCACTCCTCTCTATCTTTCTAGACTGCCAATACCCAAGAGGACCCCCAACCCCCTCTGATTCCTTCAATGAGCATTTATTCCATGCCTGCTCCAGGTTTGCTGGAAGGATGGGCCCTGCAGAGACACATGGAACTTGGGACTCCTGGAGGAATCCACAGTCTAGTGAGGAACAGGGCACGTATTGACTCTGATGCAGTGGGATGTGGGTCATTAGAGAGTACAGTAAAACCCTGGCTTGAGAGCATAATTCCTTCCGGAAACATGCTTGTAATCCAAAGCACTTGCATATCAAAGCGGATTTCCCCATAAGAAATAATGGAAACTCAGACGATTCGTTCCACAACCCCAAAATATTCATGTACAAATGATTACAATACGGTAATATAATCCTGTATATTCAAGTGTTCTGGGAACTGGGAGGAAGGTGTAGGGGGGAGGCAGTATCGGGGCTGCGGAGACTTTTAAGGATGGGAGGATTCGGGTAGGTGGGGTGTGGTAGGGACACTGAGCAGAGGCCATGGTTTCATAGACGTTTGGGGGGCATGAGAGCGTATGGTGTATCCACGATGGGCCTAATGGAGAGCCCAGTGTGTCTAGGGGTGGGATATATGAGCAGTTGCAACAGATAAGGTCTGAAAGATACGGTGGGACAAAATTGTGAGAAAGCTTTGAAAGACATGTTGTTGAATCAATCAACAGATTTATTTATTGAACATCTGCTATGTGCCAAGTACGGAATCTGTCACTGGGACTATAATGGCAAGCATACCAGAGTCGATCTCTGTCTCCTACATAGGATGGCCATATGTCCCCATTTCCTTCTTGTCCTGGAATAATTACTACTAAGGCCTCCCTTTACTTTCAGAAACACACATTGTGTGGTCATTCTGTCTAGAGAGCTTCAGCCTAGCGCAGAAAGCAGACAGATCTAGAACTCCAGATTGTGCTGGGTGGTGTGAATGCCACGTGCAGGTGCCCTGACAGCAGCCTCCAGAGGAATCTGGACTTTGCTCAGGCAACACGAAGACATAGAAAGTATTTAAGGTGGAGATCTCTGTTTCGGAAGTCATGGGATTTCTCGTGTTGAGATATCCCTCTCTCTCTCTGTATTTTTTTCTCTTCCAGTTATTAACAATAAAAAATTGAAAAAAAACCACTTTTCATCATATAGCATCCCACACTGCAAATGAGGCTCATGGGTGTATTTCTCATGGGGGGTGGGGAGGGAGCAGGTGCAGTAGAAAGGCAAAACAAGGGAGTCTGCTCTCCGACCTTGCTCTCGCCTCAATCCAGCGGCCCGATTATACGCAGGCTCCTTCACCACGCTGGTCTCGGCTTCCTCCTCTTTAAGAAGGGGATGGTCTTTCCTGCTTCCAGGGGGGGTTGGGAGAATTAGAAGTCATGTGAGTAATGACGTCCTAGGATGCACACGGTGGGCATCCTAAAAGCGGTACTGTTCTAGATTTTCTGAGCGTATGGTTAAGAAAAGGTGCTGTGCCTGGTAGAGAAATGCATTTGATTGAAAACACAGGAAACTGTGGGCAGAGTGGACAACTGAAAGAAGGGAAAAGGCCCATGGAGCTTCAGCCACTAGAAGGAAATTGGGTTGAAAAACAAACACCTCAATGGTAACATACATCCCTCTCTCGCGGGGATCTAAATAACGCCGGAGCAGGGCTGTGCCTGTGTAAGGGCAGGAGGTATAAGGGAAATCTCTATACTTTCCCCTCAATTTTGCCGTGAACCTAAAACCACCCTAAAAAATAAAGTCTCGGGGCCCCTGGGTGCCTCAGTCAGTTGAGCGCTGACTTTTGGTATCGGCTCAGGTCATGATCTCACAGTTCATGGATTCGAGCCCTGAGTCAGGCTCCACACTGATAGCTCGGAGTCTGTTTGGGATTCTCTCTCCCTCTCTGTCTGCCTCTCCCCTGCTTGTGCTCTCTCTCTCTCTCAAAATAAATAAGTAAACTTAAAAAGAAATAAATTCTTAGTAGAATTCACAGACAAAACAAACACATACCCACCCTTTTCAGTTAGACCCTTCATGGCCCTTAAGCACCAGAATCTGCTTGCCTGGCAGGCTAAGAGTGGGGGGAGAGGCTTCTCACAGAGCAGATTCGGAAAACCCAAGGTGTCCTCCAAAGCCAGGACAGGACAGTGGCTGCCTGGGAGATCAGACAGTGAGGCCTGAACAGGAACTTCCTGGGCTTCATCTTTTTCCCAGCTCTTCCTCATCCCTCTGGTTTTCACAGAACTCCCTCTGTGGGGGAGACGGTGGCTCCTGAGAGAGGCGACACTGTCCCAAGGCCCGAGACCCGGGACAGGGTGGGCCAGCTGGGTTGAACGCAGGAGCCCCGGGCCTGTGCGTGAGGGCGAGGTAGCTGAGAACACGTCAGCCGTCTCCATGCAAATCTGGCCGGTATCTTGACTGGGTGGCCAGACTCCTAGGGTCTGCATCTCATTTCCTTTCTGCTTTGCCTCCGCCGTTCTGTGATTTATCTGCTGGGGCTGCCATAACAAACTACCAGAGGCTGGGCGGCTTAAGTTGCAGAAATTTATTTTTGCCTCATCTTGGAGGCTGGAGTCTGAGATCAAGGTGTCGGTAGGGTTATTTCTTCTGAGGCTTCTCTCCTTGGCTTGCAGATGGCTGTCTTCTCCCTGTGTCTGCAGGCGGCCTCCTCTCTGTGCACGTCTGTGTCCTAATCTCTTTTGATAAGGACACCAGCCATATTGGATTACCGTCCACCCCAGCGACCTCATTTAACCTTCAATTACCTCTTTAAAGACCCAAATCTCTAAGTACAGTCACATTCTGAGCTACTGGAGGGTTAAGATGTCAACATATGAAATTGGGGGAGGGGAGGAAACCCAGTTCAGTCTAGAACATACAACTAGGCAAGTCACCCCTTTGGTCTTAGCTCCTTGGGAGAGAAGAGAAGTGGGTGGGTTGGCCTACTGGGCCTCCTCTCTTGGAGAAGAGTGGAACTGAGAACCTGGTGGCTTTTGGAAGCAGGTGCAAATCCCTTTCTGAAGACTCTTGGCTTTCTTTCCCCTGAGCCACTGGGTAATCCTCCGCTGGTGTTGGGGTTCCTGAACCCCTACCTCTTGCCTCCTCAAGCCTGCCTTTGGGATGGATCTGCGTTCTGTGTCTGGCTGAGAAATAGGGGTCTTTTCTGAGATGACTCTTCACCTGGGATTGTCAAAATGCATTTGTCTTTTGCAGAAGTCCCTCTAGCAGAAAAGAGCTCTAAGCTGCTGAAGATCCCATGCAGAAAGTTCCCCTTCTGTGAGATCAGAGGGCCAAAGAATTTACTGTGCTTTCTTTCCTTTTACCCCTTCTTTCCTCTGCAGGGGAAGGCAGGAGACCACACCTGTGTTTGTAATATCACAGACATGCTGGGATCCGCAAATGTGTCATTAGCCCACCGGGTTGGCACGGAACAGCTGCATCTGAAGGTGATTTAACACAGGTAGAACCCTACTTACGGGTGGGCAGGGTTCCAAAGATTTGCTTGGAAGTTGGTTACCATGAGGTGGGAATGTTTTTTGTCTCACAGAAAAAGTGTTAAATGTAGGGGGAGGTTTTCAGGGAACTCCGTGAAAATCTATTAACTCACACATAACTAAAGTACTAAATATGACCATTTCTGTCCCCAGCACCTAAATGCCACATTCACCAGCAATTCACTGGGAAAATACACTGTGAGTTCCAATTCCGTGTATCCCTATGAATGCTTCTCCCTTATTCATACAGCTTTTCCGACGGTGGCCCTGTGGGAAGGGGACTTTTAGGGGAGGGAAAGAAGGGTGATATTGGGCCAGATACTTCTGGATGCCACTAAAGCAACACATCAAGAGTGCAAAATATTCATATTTTTAAAAGCATGCACACATAATTGATCACATTCCACCTCATAGCATAGTAACCTTGTAATGTAAGGGTTATGACGTCTGTTCTAAGGCAATGGAGTATGGGGCCCAGAGACGTCAAGTGAACCCTTCAGGGTCACACAGCAGAGACAGTTGCAGATTTCAAGAGTCTAACGCTTCTCACATCTGCATCCGATGTGTGGGTCGGCACCTCTCCAGCTCATCTCTGCTGGAGAATACAGGCCCGGGGTTTTGATGAGTCTGGCAATCGCTGAATGGTACACCTTGGCAGGGAGCATAGGCTTGCTCTTCTCCAGGAGTGACCATGACCCTGGAAAGGGCTGGGATGGGGCAGCTCATGCTGCTTTGTGAGGGCCAGGCAGAGGTTTGGAGTTGGTGACAGCCAGTGCAGATTGCAGAGATTTTAGGATAAATGGTGATTTTCCTCCTTGGTGATTTCCCAAGGCTACTGAGGCCTGACAATTCTGGCAGGGAAACCAAATTTAAATGAGTCCCTTTTCAAGTCCGCCTGAGGGGTAGGCATTAGTCAGAGAACTAACAACCTCGCCTGACTGTTTCCTGTGTTCTGCACCCCGGAGTAGGAGCTCACGAGGAAACACGGCCATTGCTCCAAAGGTACTTTGTACGTGGACAGGAGAAGACAAACACACACAAGCCTTGCACACGTTGACAAAGGAAATGTACAAGTCCATGTAAATTCCTCTCCTCTGAGAACGTAACTGCGTCTGGTCATCAGAGTTGGGGCAGGTTCACTCAGATGAGGCTTCTGAGCTGGCCACAAGAAACCCTACGGGATGTGAGGACTGGAAAGGAGTCTAGATATTCAGTCCAACCCACATCTTTTCAGACAAAAAGCTGAGACTCGGGAAGGCTAATGATTGGCTTGAGGATCTAAGACAATGAACAAGAGAGTCAGGATCAGAATCCAGGTGCCCCCATTCTGTGTCTAGTTCCTCTTATAATTGGGGGAAGAACCAACTGAAAAAGGTGTCAGAGGATTGGAGCAGGGAGAGAGGATTTTACAGACCAGCATATTCATATTGAGCAGAAGTGAGAAATTGGAGAATAAGGTGATGGGGGTCATGTGACCCAAGACCTTGAAGGCTGAGTGGACTAAATCTGGATGTTCCAGCCCCCCCCCCCCCCCCCCACCATGATTGGCAATAAGGACCTGGAGGATAGACTCCCTCTAGCTACCTTCCAGGGCTTTCTTCTGCTGATATTATTTGTAAAATGGATTATTCTGCAAAGACTCCACCTTAAATCAAAAACTGTTGGCTTTTAGAGTTCACCCAGGATGTTAATCTGGGTCAGAAATTCTGTACTCCATGTTCCACACTGGAAGGTAAGGCATCGAATCCCAGACCTTGAGTGCTCTGCACATGGAGACTCTTGTTTGTTTGGGTTTTTTTAATATTTTTTAATGTTTATTTATTTTGAGAGAGAGAGCATGCACATGTGTGAGTGGGAGGAGAGAGAGGGAGAGAGAGAATCCCAAGCAGGCTCTGCTGTCAGCACAGAACCCGATGTGGGGACTCCCATCTCACCAACCATGAGGTCATGACCTGAGCCGAAATCAAGAGCCGGACGCTTAACGGACTGAGCCACCCAGGGGTCCCTGGAGTCCCCTTGTTTTGCAGCTCAGCCAGGCATAAGGACTTTGGCTGCACAGAAGTGAATTCCTGTTGGCCAGGTCTCAGCTTTCCCCACGTATCTCAGGGAGGACCCCATAGGGCTCCTTAAAGAAGCAGCCTTGTGTATGTGGATGCTGGATGGGGACAGAGCGGAAGGGAGAGGGCAAGGAGCCTGCGGAGGAGTCCAACAGGATGCAAGGCTCGCAGCTGATCCCCTGCTTGCTGCCATTGGTCTGTTGGTATTGCAGAAACATGGCTCCAGCACCAGGGGAGAATGTAAGGGTCAAGAACTGCAAATTGTAAACCACAGTGAAGTGAGATGAATCAATCTGCAGTGACCTAATAGACAGGAGGAAAGCCTGCTAACAGGAGGCTTAGAAAAGGCTCCCAGGATGTACAGGGCCGCGGGAGATCATGACCAGGCAGCTCTGTCCACTCGGACAACCAGGCCTGGGCAGCTTTGGTCACGTGGTTGTCAGGGTGGAACCAGGCCACCTGGGACCAGGCAGCGTCTCCCCTGTGCCGCATCCTATCCTCAAGTTCAGGGTGGAAGATGGTTCCAGGGAGCAAGCCTGCCTATTCTGCAGTCACGGACCCTAGAGAGGAAAACATTGCTTTTGTTTCCATGGCTGTCATTCTTTTCTGACTCACAATACACGTCTGTTATCAGAAATACAGAAAATCTATAGAAGAAAGTAGGATGTCATTCACGGGCACACCCCCAAAGATTGTTACTATTAATGTATCAGGGAATTTCCTTCCAGGCTTTTTTCCCCCCCATGTACATACAGTTTAAAATGCAATTGGAATTATATTATATTTACATTCTTGTCATCCTTTGTCATGTAAGATTATATCAAGAGCCTATTCCCATGCTATTGAGTATTTTTCCATAACATGTTCTGAAAAACTTTCATAGCATATTTAATTCTGTGTGTGTACGTACATATAGTTACTCAACTACGGTTGGATGTTCAGATTGTTTGCTAATTTGTACCACTGTGAACACTACTACAAACGAATATCTTTTCATCATCATAGTACTTAGCCACGATCCTGACGATTTCCTTAGGTCACTTTCCCAGAAGTGGAATCCGTGCTTCAAGGGCTCTTGTTACACATTGGCTAACACCCCCCCACCTGGAATGCTATACCAATTTGCATTCCCATTCATCAGTGGCTATGACAGTGCCCGTTTTACTGCCCATTTGCCAATAAGTATGAGTTATTATATTCTTTTAAGTGGAAGGTCATCTTTCCAGAAGCATGCTCAGCTTACTGACAGCACAAACCCCAAGCATGGAAGCTAACTTCTTTGTGTTTGTGGGCAGAGCTCAGTCAACCCACGAGTGGGGAGAGTCAGAAAACCTAAGAAGGCAGAGGCTGAAGCCAATCCTCAGGCAGCCATGGGTGCTAGGGAGGGAGAGGGGGGACCCGTGGATGGGGTGAGACTTGCTCCATCCTTCTCCAAAACGTGAAGTGTATTGAACTGCCGTGCAAACCCCTTCCTCCCAGAGCTCCTGCCCAGGAACGCTCCCTGGCTGATGAGGAAATGAGAGAACAAAGCGCGCCAACACAAAGGCGGGTTTAGTGCTCTGGAAGGCCAGCGATGTGCAAAGCCCCTGACGCTAAGCAGAAATGAAAACGTTAATGGTGAGACATCCAAAGAAAATGTATTCCATATGTACAGGCCGGCTGGCGGCAAAGGAATACAAATGCACTTGGAGATTAGCTGGGGAGAGCAAGGGCAGCAGCAGATAACTTTGGACTTGCTTTCCAGCACCTTAGGTCAGTGTTAGCTGAAGGTACTTGGGGGGTGCCGAATTGGACCATTTTCCTGACTCCAGGAACAGATAAACTTATCGGTGCTGCAACGTATTTTAAATAATCACAAGAGCCGTAATTTATTGGGCAAGCCCAGTACCTACTCTACACTCAAGCTACGTGCTTTCGTGCGACTCATTTCGTCACCGGAACAGCTCTGTGGAGGAGAAGCCGTGCCGGTGTCCCAGGTGAGAAAATGGATGCACCACGAGATGAAGTGACTTGCCTAATGCATCAGAGTGGCAGAGCCTGGATCTTAAATCGGGCCTATGTGGTCCCCTGCCTGTGTTCTTTCCATGGCTATGCCTGAGCAGGGCTTGATCTCCAGGAGTGGAGATGGGGCGGGGAGACCTGGCAGTCCAGGAGCCCGGGAGACGAGGCCTTGCAGCCCTTCTGAGGACTCGCTGGCCCTCCTGATAGAAGTCAACGGCCTTTTCATTCTGTCTGCCACACATTGCTAGTGGTGACCAGAAGATGGGCATCCTGAGGGTGAATATGGCCAACGGGCTTTAACATGTCCTTCTTGTGGCTGGTGAGCCAGGGCCGCTGGGGGCAGGACATTGCCAGAGAGCGCCTTGGTGATGGGTGGGTGGCTGTTGTTATGACCTATATTTTCCTGCTATGGAAAGCCACACACACAGAATCCCCGGAAGACAGGCCCTCAAAGACATGGCCCCATGTCCATGGCAGGGCTACAGCTTTCTGGTCATCAGACTCCAGGCTGTGCTGGGAGAATTGCTTTATCTGCACCTGACTTGAGACCTCCGGCTTGCCTTACACATGCATTCCATGGGAAACAGGGAATGAAGTAGATGTAGAAGGAACCAGAAGGAGTTACTCCTAAGGACTCTCTGGGAGGCCCGGAAAACTGGCTAGTGCCCAGCCACCCCTAACTTCCCGGCTCATTAGGGCCTCCTCAGACTCCCCCAGTTGTCCCACTGCAACGTACTTTCTGCTGACCAAGAAGAATTCTTCCTGCTGACTTGCTCTTTTGCTGGAAAAACACTGGACAGACAAGAATAGGATTTTTTTTTTTTCTATTTGAAAAACAAAACAAGACAAAAACCAAAGCACAGAGCTTTTAAGTAAAGTGCTGGGGGATTGACT